CTCTGTAAACCTCTCAGAGAGGGGGGTAAAAGTGCTATGGGACGGTATATGAGCTTAATTGCTATTGCTATATCTAATTTTACATGCCAGTGAGTAGAAGGAATAATGGGATAAGCAATGGTCAAATAAGTTTAAGTTTAGCTAGGATTCTGGCTGCTAGCATCCAACCATTTTGTCCATTCATTGACCCATCTCATTCATTAGTTTGTGTTGTTAACTTTGGCAGTAAATTCAGAGAAATTGATGTAGAGACACAGTTTATTCTGCTAACACAAATGCTGCCATCTTTCAATTAAAGAAAAACCACGGTACATAAATGGACAATCAGGCTAATGATTTTTAGCTGGGCACGATTATCTACTTCTAAAGCAGGAATTGGGATGGATTCCTTAGGTCAGGAGTAAACAATTTGATGTCCACCAGAAACTTGGAGCTTAGCACCTTGTCATAAACCAGTGGTTCTCAACCTGTGGGTCGGGACCCCATTTGGGGTCGAACGACCATTTCACGGGGGTCGCCAAACAAGGCTGTCCGCCATTTTTTCCCCTTTTCTTTGGCCACACCCCTGGCACCCGGTGATGTATAAGTGGTTGGGGGTCACCACAACATGGGGAACTGTATTATGGGGTTGCGGCATTAGAAAGGTTGAGAACCACTGTCATAAACTATGCTTGATGTGGCTAATGGGTGTTGAGTCTAAAATATCTGAGGACATCAAATTACTTATTTTGCATGCTAAAGAGTCAGTTCAGAGTGAAGGGTGCTTTCAAATAAGTAATTCAGAAAACTGATTTATTCACGGCAGCTTAGATCATCTACTCTTCCGTGGCTTCTCATAGAACATCATCTATGTCATATACCATACAAAAGCAATGAGTGGAAGTTTGTTAAAAAGAAATCCAGCTTAGAAGTAAAGAAAGATTTTCTGACGGTGAGAAGAATGAACCAGTGGGACAGCTTGCCTTCCACAGTTGGGCTGCTCCATCACTGGATGTTTTCAAAAAAATAGACTGGTCAGCCATTTGATTGGGTTGGAATAAGGTCTCCTGCACTGAGCAGGGGATTGGATTAGACCTCCGAGATCCCTCTCAGACCTGATTCTATGATCTGTGTTCTGTGTTATCCATATTCTCCAGATCTTTTCCATCCTTTGAAACCTCATCCTTTGAAGTGAAAACAGCAAAGTTAGAAAGCCTGAACAACCTTGTCTTCTGTAGACGTCTCCTCTGGCGTCCTCTTCCTGTTTCCGCCCCCCCTTAGATTAATAATAGCTTTTATTATCACAATTGAACACACTGTGGGAGGTAAAAGGAAGATATCTGCATTGCTATGTGTCAATTCAGCAGCGCCACTTGCAACGCTGAGGTTTTCTAACGTATAATAATTGACGTTGACAGAGGGTGTCTGTTCTATAGCTAGTCTTTTCCCCCTGGCTCATCTAGTTTTTGCAAGTAGCATGAGAAGCTCCTCCAGGCATTTTGCTTATGTGAAATCCATTGACCTCATTTGAATTCCTTTTTTACCTAACAGAGGGCTCCTTTCTTCCACCCATAATATATAAGCAATAAATCAACAACGGTTGGCTTGTTTAAAAAAAACGCTTTGAAGGGCAAAATGAATAGCGACAATGAAATATTATTTATCCCAAAGTGTTATTAAAGGCAACGTGTGTTGGAGTTTATCACAGCCGGAGCTTGCCATAGGGCATCTCAAGGGAAGGTTCAGGTGCAAGGTTTTTGTTTTATTATTTTTTTTACCTTCTAGGATTGCTTTATATATTGGTTTTGTTGGGGTGGTTAAGATGGGCGGCCATATTTTAATGTTGAATTTTATCACGGCGGCAAGGTTATTGATTGGGCAATATTGGAAGAAAGATTCCTTGCCTACTATAGAAGAATGGTTTTTTAAAGTTTCTTATTTATCAGAAATGGCAAAAATTTCAGCTTATCTGAAAGACCATTCACAAGAGAGATATATCTCGGTGTGGAAAAGATGGGTAAATTTTGTACAGAATAAATATGGGATTAGAAAGTATTATTTAGCTTTTGAATAATTTATAGTTTAAAGTGGGTATTTTTCTTTTTTCTTTTTATTGTTATGTTATGGTTGGACTTGTTGTTTCTATGTATTGGAGTTAAAGTACTTTAAATTTTTGGGATGTATGTATAGTTGATTGATGTTCATTTAACCTGTATGTTTTTTTTTTGTTTTTTTAACCCTGTATTCAGCTCTGGGAAGGAGGGGGGAGGGTCATGGGGGGGTGGGAGGGGGGGAAGTATTTTATTGTAAAAAGTTCATAAAATTTTCAATAAAAAAAAAAAGATGGGCGGCCATATGCATTTTTTAAAGAAATAAATTCCTGCACACTCGGTCTTCTGTTGAGGGTGCCTTCCTTTTAGTTGATTCTTTGTCATCCCTGGGAATAATCTCCAAGGCATTAACATTCTTTGCATCTCTGCAAAATAAGCAAATACTTATGTCTACCGAGATTCTCAGTCATTCACGTCCTTCGATTGTCCCAAAAGTGCATTTTCCAAAAGGCAACTGGACTTTTTTTTTTCTTTGAAAACATCTTGCTTCCCATCCAGCTTCTTCTTCAGTTCTGAAATGAAGAAGTTCTTGAATGAGAAGCAAAATGTTTTCAAAGGAAAAAACTAGGAAAGTCCAGCTGCCTTTTGGAGAAAGCATCTTCAGAACAAGCAAATGCTTAACACTGATCCCTGATTTTACTCTAGGGCAGTGGTGGCGAACCTATGGCACGGGTGCCAGAGGCGGCACTCAGAGCCCTCTCTATGGGCACGCACGCCGTCGCCCCAGTCCTAGGCCTTCAGCTGGGTTTATAAAACCTTTTCGCTTTAGGCCTCCGCCGCCGTGTGCAAAAAAAAAAAAAAAAATTCAATCAGAGTCAATTTCAACTTCTCACGGGGAAAAAAAAAAGATCTTGCAAAGTTGGAATTGATTGATTAAACTTTTTAGTCCCACCCAGTCTGCCGTTACCACCACAACCACGCCCACCCAACAGGCCACACCCACCCAATGGGCCACACCCACCCAGCACCCGACGATGCATAAGTGGGCTTTGGGTTGCAGTTTGGGCACTCGGTCTCTAAAAGGTTTGCCATCACTGCTCTAGTACATTAACACAGTTCCAGTTTTTCCATGGAATGGTTAATAATAGACTTCTTTCCAGTGAAAGATTCCCCACGTGGAATGGATGTAATACTTCCCCAGAAACAGTAGCCTTGAGACTGGTTGTCTGTCAGAAAGTCCCCTGTGGTCCAGTTGTGTTATCAATCTCATCAGCCAGCTAAGCTCCAAACATTTTCAGTCATGAAGTCAACGCCACTTAAAAACCACATGATCTGCAACTTTGTCTTAACAAGTCTTATAATTTGCTTTGGGAATGCAGTTCCCATTTTCTGGTTATGTCAACAGATTTTCATCGCTTTCCCCTGCTAGGCCAGAAAAGGCTGCATACACCAGGGAGATATGAAAGATGAGGGTGAAGGTTCGTTCTCCGAGCTTCTGGGGTTGGTTTGCAAACATTTCATTATCAGGCTAGGTAACATCATCAGTGGAGCTTAGGGGACATCAGTGTTCTGCTTATAAGGGCTTCGTGTGGTCGGTGGGTCTTGTGATGGGTCAGGTGTGGGTGTGTCAAGTGAGGGTCTTTGATGGATCAAGTGGGTGTGTCAAGTGAGGGTCTTGTGATGGGTCAGGTGTGGGTGTGTCAAATGAGGATCTTGTGATGGGTCAAGTGAGGGTCTTGTGATGGGTCAAGGGTCGGTGTGTCAAATGAGGATCTTGTGATGGATCAAGTGAGGGTCTTGTGATGGGTCAAGGGTGGGTGTGTCAAGTGAGGGTCTTGTCATGGGTCAAGTGAGGGTCTTGTCATGGGTCAAGGGTGGGTGTGTCAAGTGAGGGTCTTGTCATGGATCAAGTGTGGGTGTGTCAAGTGAGGGTCTTGTCATGGGTCAAGTGGGTGTGTCAAGTGAAGATCTTGTGATGGATCAAGTGTGGGTGTGTCAAGTGAGGGTTTTGTAATGGGTGTGTCAAGTGAAAGTCTTGTGATAGGTCTTGTGATGGGGAGGTTACATCAGGTGAGGATCATAGGAAGGTGTGCTGGTGGGGGGGGGGCTTCTATGGGTCGATTGAGGGTCGCCGCTGTCTCTGGTTGGCTGTGTGGTTGATTTGGATTCTGAGGGATTCATAGGCTGGTTGTAGGTCAATGGTGTCTGTTGATAGAATTGCTTGTGGAATGCCAGCCTTTGATGAACTCCCAAGCATAGTGGGTGGTAGCGTGGCCGATGATTTTGGTCTGGCTCCAATCGAATTATGGTAATTCAATATGGTAATGTTTTAAAGAGTCTGCTTAATGCATTCATTTGCTAAAGGGCAAATCTTTGTACCAGCAATTCAATATCAGACTTGTTAGAGTTAGACTATTTACATAGCCTGTTACCTACTTATGTATTCCTCTCCAGTTGTGTAGGACTTCATCTCCCACAATCTCCCAGCCAGCATGGACCTTAGGGGATCTAGGGAATTGAATCCAGTACATCAGATTGAATAAGGTAGTCTTCTGCATACTTAGTTGTCCAGGGTCTAATCAGAAGTCCAATGTTGACAGGACACCTCTGTCTACAAAGACTGAACCATAATTCCCAAGAGCCCCAGCCATCCGTGATCACTAGAGAAGGGTTTGGGAGATGTAGTTCAGCAATAGCTAGATAGCCACGAAGTCTGGCTAACCATTTCTGCTGAGTGTAGTTTGTAATTTCCTAGTGGTTTATTTTCTTTGCTTCTGTTTTTATTTTCTTCTCTAATAAAACAATAGCTACTCTAAAAGGTAGATGTACTACATACTACAATTTCTGCCTAGTCCATCTGGCAAAATGAGACTTCCAAATTCTTAACTATTTTCAGATTATCCCATCATTCTGTTTAATTTAGAGATTTCCTCCTTAAACAATGCCAATTATACATTTACTTTCTTGCAGGAAGTGCCGTCTCCAGCCTTGAAATTGTCTCCTTATTCCCAGGGCAGCGTGCGAAGGATTATCTTGGAGAATCCTGAGAAGGTAGCAAAGTTTTACTGTGGTTGTGCTGGACCAGTAGGTAGCCATCTGGTCAGAGTGTATAGCTAGCTTAGTAAATTATGTGTAGAGCAAGTAGCATTTTAAGGGTTAAAGTGCTACCCCCTTGAGGTTAGCCTTCTGGGAAATGTAGTTTAGTTGTTACATGGTTATATCCGTGTTCTAATTGGCCACTGGGAGGGTCTTGTGGTTTATTACCAGATATCCTGTTACGTGCCAGATTTTTATGATCTCTCACCATGAATCCTAGCCATGAGGCTAGGAGCTCCGTAACAGCATGTAAGATTTACGTAGAATGGGGAAATCCATTATCCTTTTACCTATGAGATGGGTCCAGATTACAACTTACATTCTGGAAGAACTTCTACAATAACTGTGTGGTCACAATGGCATCGGGGCATCGGATGTTGGAAGTAGATTTAAGTACTTGTGCCTGCATGTTAAAGTATCAATGGATCTCTATGCGTATACAAGTAGTTCTCGACTTACGGCCATTCGTTTAGTGACTGCGACCATTACAGCGTCCCTATTGTCATGCAGTCAAAATTCAGATGCTTCATATTTGTGACGGTTGTAATGTCCCATGGTCACGTGATCCCCTTTTGCGACATTTTAATGAGCAAAGTCAATGGGGGAGAAGCCCGATTCACTTAACAACCATGTGACTAAGTCAGCCTGCAGTGATTCACTTAACAACTCTGGCAAGGATGGTTGTAAAAGGGGCAAAACTCACTTAAGAACGGTCTCATTTAGCCACAGAAATGTTAGACTCACTTCTGGTTGTAAGTCAAGAACTACCTGTATACTTTTCCCCCACCTGGCCTTTGGGCTCTAAATAAAACTGTGGAGTTCTTTGTGCTGTCTGAGCTTCATGTGTTGCTTGCAGATGTTTTATTATCCAGCTAGTAACATTATTGTTGCGCTGATGTTGTTACATAGTTGGGTAATAAAACATCTGCACGCGAGCAACCATCTTCAGAGAGCAACAAGGACTCCACAGCTCAACCCTGAGCTACAGGTGTTTTCCTCTATTGTAATAAAGTTATTTGAGTAACTTGCACATAGAAGTGTACAATTGCACACACACATCCACACATCTGGAAGAACAGCAGGATTATTTCAAACTTGTGCAAGACTTGATCTTCCCATTCATTCTTCTTGAGCCATGGCAGCTGAAAGCATTGTGGGTTTTCTAGAAAATCCTGAATCAGAACATTTCTCCCAAAACTGTTACAAGCAGAAGACTTTTGGAAGATCCCCTATGCCACTAGACTTAATTCTGGCTGGTCCTCATGTGTTGGGACTACGTTGCAGGCTCGTTGGTTTCTTCAACCCAAAAGCAGTGAGATCTAAGCGATGCTTGCCTGGAACCTGAGCAGGGGGTTGGACTAGAAGACCTGCAAGGCCCCCTTCCAACTCTTTTATTCTGTTATTTTGTTGTGGGCGGATCCTGGATCCTAGTCTATTGAATCTTTATTTCATAGGCTGAGATTTAGCCAGGAAGAATATAAAAGACAGCATCAAAAGTCCATAGCAAATGGGACATTTCGATCTCCTTGTCTTCCGTGTGGCCTTTGGATTCTTCTTTCCAAAGAAGCCTGGAGAGTAAACAGGAAACAAACAATTTAAACACTGGGGAGAGGAGAGTTTGAAGATGGATGGTTGGGGGGGGGGGATTTAATCCTAATATTTACTTAACTACATTCTTGACCTGATCCTGGCTGGGGTTTTTTTGGGGGAATGTGGCTTTTAGGTTGAAGAAAGTGATACCCTTTGCTCTTTATCTCCTTCCGGCTGTTTATCCACCAGAACCCCTGGGAGGGTTGAAGTGTTTGTGGGTCCAGTAGGAACAGACAGTCCGTGCTTGCCATTTTTTTTCAGCCATCTGAAATTTAGCCCCTTCTTCTCTTGCCATTCTGGGCTTCAGCCAACCTCATTTTGTAAAGTCGGATGCTTTGCAGTCTGTGAGAGTCTGTGTATAAATAGGGGATTGTTTTGTTACTTACAGGAGCCTCTGTCTCCACTTCTCAGAGGAGGAAATAATGTGATCTATGAAAAGACAATAAGGAAATATGAGCTGCTAAATCCAGAGGAGGTAAGAGATTCTCCCGCCCCATCCCTCCCTCCCTCCCTCCCTCCCTCCCTCCCTCCCTTCTTTCTTTCCTTCCTTCCTTCCTTCCTCCCTCCCTCCCATCCACTCATCCTCTCCTCCCTCCCTCCCTCCCTCCCTCCCTCCCTCCCCCTTCCTTCCCTTCCTTTCTTCCTTTCTCCCTCCCTCCCTTCCTCCCTCCTCCCTCCCTCCCTCCCTCCCTCCCTCCCTCCCTCCCTTCCTTCCTTCCTTCCTTCCTTCCTTCCTTCCTTCCTTCCTTCCTTCCTAGAGAAACCGGCCTTCTGACTTTTTAATTTGACTGCTCTGTGGTGGAGTTCAAGACCTAAAGTGGACAGAATCATCTTTCAGTTGTCTGAGCTCTTAGTGGGTTTTATATCTCTGTGGAGGCTTGCACCTTTGGACCCAAACACCTGTCGTTATTCGATCTCTGGGGCAAATGAAAACAACTTTGCCCAATGCACAAAAAGCTGGAGGCTGTCCTGGCAAAGCGCCTATTCAATAGGCACCCTTCCCTTTTGAAACAAATGAATAGTGCGTTGTTTCACCTTGCCCTTTCTTCTCCATGGGTATAAAGTTCCAAGGTGTTCCCTTTTCAGAGTCTCAGGTGAACTAGAAAGTTATTTTAAGACCGGTTTAGAAATCGGTGTGTTGAGGAATTGCAAGGAGGAGGGGAGAACAGGTGAACTAGGATGCCCGAAGCATCAGCTTGTGTGAAAACCAAACATCCGTGTGAAGCCTTTGGTGCTTTCTGAGAATGGCTGTTTTATGCAGACGTTTTCATTACCCAACTGTGTAATATCATCAGTGCTAGAAGGGAAGTGCTCTCTGTTTCTATACTTACCCTTTGTATACAGAGAGTAAACCCCACTTCCTTCTAGCACTGATGATGTTAGCTAGGTGGGTATTGAAACATCTGCAAGAAAGCTCAGAGAGCACCAAGGACTCCACAGTTGAGTTGGAAACATCCTAGTGACTGCCTACCAAGAAAATCTCAGTTGAGACAAAGAGACTGCCCAAGGTTCTTTTGAGGAAGCTGATCCAGATGGAAAGCTAGACAATTTTTTTGAAGCACAGGTAGACACCTCAATGAGCAATTTGTGGAGTTCAATATCTGGTACGAAGCCCGGTGGAATTTCTTAGGGGCACTTTCTGAAGCAGGACACAGTTGGCCATTAAAATAAACAGGACCAACAACGTTCAGCTGGAGCAGTGTTTCTCAACCTTGACAATTTTAAGGCATGTGGACTTCAACTCCCAGAATTCCACAGCCAGCATTGCTGGCTGTGGAATTCTGGGAGTTGAAGTCCACATGCCTTAAAATTGTCAAGGTTGAGAAACACTGAGCTGTAGGGACTGGTGTTCAGCCACGGATTCTTTGACCACCAGGTTGTTCCTGTCACTACAGAGCTGGGGAAAAAAAGTTGCATCTGGGTTGATTACAAACCTTCTGGAGCTTTGAAAAAGAGGCTGGAACACTCACCTCTCAAAAATGATTTATTGCGTATTGCAGAGGGTTGACCCTGGCGATCTGTTCTAGCTCCATTGTTCTGTTATTCTTTGGCATCAAAGCTTAGCTTCATGGATGCAATTTCAGGGGAATCCATGCGAAAACCCCAAAGGGAAGACAATGAGCAATTTTATAATGGACAAATCTAAATATTCAAAATGCAAAATGTGATTGGACTTGTGTGGGTACACTGCAGCTCCTCTCCGGAATAGCTGAGAGCAACTGGGTAATTTCCTGGAATTTGTATAGTTGTGTTTCACAGCTACAGTGTGATCCTGGTCAAGATGGGTTTGGTTTTTAGAGTTCTCTGCAGGGACTATGCGTCTACCTCCTTGTGCTCTAAATCTGGACTTCCCTTCTGAATGTGGATCACTGCACAGCCTACTAAAATGGCCCTTGGTGGACATTTTCCAGTTCACACGTGCTCCTTTGCAAGACAAATCTCAGAGGTTTGCAAACCAATGGCCTGTATTACAATAACCTGCAAAGCAGAAGGTCTTTTTTTTTTTCCCCAACCAGGTGTAAAAAGAAACAGGAAGGAATCAGAATTCCTGGAAATAAAGCCAAATGGAGATTTGACTATGGAGCTCAGTTTGGAAATAGGTTCCTTATGAAAAAAACTTCTTTTCTATGAAGTTGTGTCTGGCATAGTCTGCCATGAGTTCACACATGGAGTCCACTGCACAATAAGCCATTGTTGGCTGGATTCACGTATGGCACAGTCCGCCATTAGCTGTGTGTCCCTAAGCTGGCTCACAAATCACAGTAGACAAGCAAGCTCAGTGTGTAAACAAAACATAGCAATAAGGTCAAAGTCAAATTCAGAGCTGGTTCATCACACACAGTAGACTTTATAATAATAATTTTTATTTTACAGTCACAGACCAAAATGCGAGTGCAACAAAAGAAAACACAAGAAAAATACAATCACAAACAGTTAACACCAGAAGCCTTGGCTAGGGGGAATTACAACGTTCTCCTCTAATAGTTACAGCTCTTAAAAGAAATTTAAAAATCTTGAGAAGTAATATAGGGGGAGCCATCCCCTAGACAACATAAGACCAAATTACTAACTTTAGAACCAGAGGGATCAATTCCAAGGAGAGACAGTAATTTAATTCTGGCTGTGTTATACATAGGGCAGTATGATAAGACATGCTCCACAGTTTCAGCTTCAGCCCTATCACGGGCATAGTCGCTCACTAAACGGGAACCTCTTGAATCGCCCGTCGAGTAGTGCTGAGGGCAAGACATTGAAACGGGCTAGGGAGAAGACTCTTCTATACTTGGGGATGGTTAGAGTATAGAAATATGAAGCCATCCTCAATCCATAATTATTAGAATGGCTGAAGATCAAAGGGGAGCAGGTTTTGTTGGCTCTGGATCTTAAATATTGCAAATCTATGTCCACAAGCTGTTGGACTACCCTAAACTGGGCGTCCTTGAGACCATAATCTCCCAGAGCATCCCCCGTAAAACCTAGAGGTAGACTTTATGTTTGAAGAAACATTGCTTGATAGGGAATTCTGGAGGAAGGCTTCTATCTGTCTTCATTCTATTCTGTGGTGTATCTCAAGCTTGACACCTAGAAGATGGGTGGACTTCAGCTCAAATGGTTCCCCAGCCGGGGGATTCTAGGAATTGGAAATCCACACCTCTTCAAGGTTGAGAAATATTGTTCTAAAGGATTTTCAGGGCCAAACTTATTGAAACTTGTGCCAACCTTTAGAACAGGGGTTCTCAACCTTGGCAACTTTAAGACTTGTGGACTTCAACTTCCAGAATTCCTCAGCCAGCTTTGCTGGCTGAGGAATTCTGGGAATTGAAGTCCACAAGTCTTAAAGTTGCCAAAGTTGAGAACCCCTGCTTTAGGAGTTGAGGATTAAGAGGTAAGTCTACACTTCAGCTGGTCCTGTTGGTTAACGACCACCATAAAGTTATTTGAATTTGAATTCAAACGATTCTAGATTGTTATTTGTATCATTTTGACTTGAATGTTATTATTTAAACCCCAGGGTGTTCACTAGGTGGTCAAAAAAGTTCAGGATGGCCATGCCACTCTGGAACCCCACCTGCTTTTACCTGTATCATGACATCCATGAAAAGGGGAAGGTCTTCCAGCTTCTCTTCTTTTTAACCCCCATCTCCCGCATCTGTATTTAAGTGTCCTGTTGCCTAACACGAACTGAGTTCTTAAGACGAAGGGTTTGCGCAAGAGACGTGAGCTTTCAAGGGATTCTCTTTTTGTCTTAGGAGAAGCAGTACCAGTACCTGCAGCAAAGCCAGACTGACCAATGCCAAGTCAGTCAGCCAGTGGAACGAGTCCAGGTGATTCAGCAAGGCCAACGCACAACCAATGCCTGTAACTCTACTCCTGTCTATGTCAACGATGCTGGAAAGAGCAGCATTAATAAAGTTATCATACAGACATGTGAACCGGTAAGCCTTTAACCAATCAATACGTGTTTCTCAACTTTGGTCACTTTTTTTTAATAAATTGTATTGGTTTTTAAAACATAAATCACATAATAGTCGGTTAACAGTGTGTTTGCTTAGTTTACATTTGTAATGAAAGATGGTTAACAATTGATTTCTATAATTCGTAATCCACATATTCAAACAAATGTCTCTTTTTCTCTTAAATATTCTCTCTGGTGGGCCCCGTCATCTATATTCTAAATTTTCATTTAATATTTTCAATATGAATCAGAGAGTTTTTCCATCTATTTTCCCCCAACCAATTGTACAATTTATTCCAGATTTCATAATAATCTGTTTCACTCTTATCCTTAAGTTCTAATGTCAACCTATCCATTTCCGCACAGAATAAAATCTTATTTATTACCTCTTCTTCTGAGGGTGTCTCATTATCCTTCCATCTCTGTGCAAAGGCTAATCTTGCTGCTGTTAGCATGTGTAGTAATAGGTATAGAGATCCTTTATTGTATCTATCCTTAGTGATACCCAACAGAAAGAGCTCTGGTTTTAGTTCAATGTTCTGCATTAGTATCTCTTCTAGCCACTGTTTTATCAAATGCCAAAATTTTTGTACATTTGAACATTCCCACCACATAGATAGTAGGGCCCTAGTGATTCTTTACATTTCCAACATTTGGTCACTAAGACGTGTGGACATCAACTCCCAGAATTCCTTAGCCCAGTGGTTCTCAACCTTGTCCAGGCTGTCTCTGCCCTGCTGAGCCCGCAAAAAGTCCCATCCTGCAAACGGTGCTGCACCAGTTGAGTAGTCCTCGACTTACGACCGGTTGAGGGTCACGGCATTAAAAAGGTTGAGAACCACTGCCTTAGCCAGACAAGCTAGCTGGGGAATTTTAGAAATTGAAATCCACACGTCTTAAAGTTGTCTACATTGAGAAACAACATTTTAAGTGGATGTTTTCTGGTCCAAAAAGGACTCAGATGTCTAGCTCTGAAGTCTCATGCATGGAAGAGTGCTCTTAGATGCACAAAGAGCCACTCTTTGCAGATAAAGTGGCTGTCAGTTTACGACACAATCAGATCAAATCTAATTTCTGAACCATTTTGCTCATGTTGCAAAAATGGCCCACACCCAGCCTGGCGGGAAAGGATGCTGTTGATCTCAGTTTCTGCACTGAAATTATCAGGGAGTTAAATCAAAAGTGTGCGGTGTTTGCCTCTAGCAACTAGGCAGGTAATTCTGCAGAAGCCTCCACAAGACAATTCATTCCAGGTTCGCCACAAGTTATGAAACAAAATAAATGTAGGTGGAGTGCTTGGGAAAAAGGAGAAGGTTGAATTCTAATTAGGCAAATAGCAGCCACGTCTGCCTTGTGGTGCCTTGAGAGGCTGAAAAGGCATCGTGGGAAACCAGGAAAAAGCTGTGTTTTTTCCCCCAAACCTTCCTCCTTTGTGAAGAACAAATAATATTAATAAAAAAAAGTAGAAAGCAGAAATAACATAAATTGCTTTGTGCTGTTTTAACTGCAGCAATGAAGTTTTAAACTGTATATTATGCTGCAAAGTACCAAACCTTTTTTTCCAAAGCATTTGAGTTTTTAAAGCGTTTGCCTTTTCTTTTTACACTTATTTCCCCCCCAAAGTTTAAATGCTTCATTGAAAAATTAGGTTTGGTTTTGTACCATACACCATTAATCACGGTTTATCCACCCCATCGACTGGCTTGGTAGAACACATTAACTCAAAAGCCGGCAAACCAAGTTACGAATGAAAGAAAATGTATGTGTCCCAGGATAATGTCGCAGGATCCAGTCTGGGTCAGTCACTGGGATCCAAGTTTTATTCTTCCGAGCTTTTGCATTCATGGTGGAGCCCATCCTTGGGGAACTTCTTTCTTTCGACACAATCTGGTGAGAGAGAAGTTCCTTGAGGATGGGCTCCAGCACAAATCCAAAAGCTTGGAGGACTAAACCTCTGGTCCTGGTGACTGACCCAGATTGGATCCTGCAAACCAAGTTCCATCTTGGATTGCTGGTGGCAAGAAGAATGTCACCACTGCAGGACATTCTGCATTTTATTGATGCCTTGTGTAGGAAATACGGACATTGAAGACATAATGAATCAAGCTAGAAATATTTGAAAGGCACCCCAAGGGGAGAATGAGTGCAGAAAGGAGGCCAATGCAGTGTGCAATCAAGAATGGAGGAGAGCTTTAAATCAGCCACTTGCCTGCTAAGGGTTGAAGGTTGCTTTCTGCTCAAGGAATGGGGCTTTCTAACAGGTGTCCTTTATGATCTCCTTTCAGGTGAAGTGCATCCAGGAGACAACTGACCAGCTGGACTGCCGATACTTTGGGGAGCTCCTAGCAGAGCTGCACCGCAAGAGCAACGACCTGCACAGCTGTTTGCTCCAGCATGTTGAGAAGCTGGGCGGAAGGTAGAGGTCCCATCCCCAGCAGTAGCATGCTTGGAATTTGGAGAATGTTTGGCAGCCCTTCTTGGAAAGGAAGCAGAACTGCTTGCCTGAACAGCAGGCTGCAGTTCTGTTTGTTTGCAGCAATCCTGAGAAACAGGGGGGGGGGGGGGGGGGAGGGGTCGAAATAGAACACATACAGTAACTCCAACCCTCGTATTATGTATGAGTGTTGTCACAACATTCTTAGTTTTTAAGTTACAGATGGTCCTCAGTTAATACGGGAAATACTGTCATTAAGTAATGTGGTTGTAAAATGAAATCTTAGCAATGGCAATTGCAGCAGTCTCCAGTTACCATTGTTAAAAGAGGACCTTCCGACTTCCTACTGGCTTCCCCATTGATTTTGTGGGAAACTGGCAGGAAACTGGGAAACAAAGTCCACCTGTATATAATTGCTACATACTGATCTCCCAAGTCATGCTAAACCATAACGTGGTCATAGTTTGCACAATAAATCACAGTTGCCCGGGTTTGTGCAATTGACCTAGCCATTAAAAAAGAAGAGTCATCGCTCTTCCGATCCTGAGTGCCACCAGTTGGACTCCATTACAGGGATGTGCTTATTTGTGGATAGGTGTGTTATATCTAAATATTTACACGTGATGTTCCGGAAGCAAAGCATAGTTTTATTAAAGGTAATTTAGGATATGCTTTTCTCAATTAAGTCAGAATGAAAGACTTACCATAACAACGGTGGTGACAATTATAATGTACTCGGTGGATAGAGAAATGACAATGCTAATATTTTCTCGTGTTTCTCTTACAGAAGATGCGATCTGGAATCCCTGAATGATGTAAGTGCCAAGAATTTATAGAAATATCCGAGTTTTATGCATTAATAAGCAAACAGTGACTAGCTGTCTTTAATGTCCAATGCAATAGGATTTAGATGTGAAGTTGAACCCAATGTTTGATTAATTTGTAACGGCACTCCTGGATAATATGTATTTTATTTCTTGTTTTGTTTCCAATAGGCAGAGGATATTGAGAGTTTGATTCCTAAAGGGCTTTCGGAGTCGACAAAACAGCAGATACGTTATCTTCTGGAGGTAAGGGGTTATGGAGAAATTTGTGGAAATCTGTGGAAATTGTGTTTAATTTCATGTTGTGAAGCCATTTTTGCCCAAACCCTAACACACAGTACTGATGCATTTTGCATACTTACTTACTGTCCTTCCTATGATGGATCCTGTGTTGACGAATAACCACTATATGTCAGCCCAAGAGTGACACGGAACAATCCAGCCGGAGTTCAGTTCTTTATTTGCTTACACACAACGGACAGACACTTGTGAGAGTAAACCATTATTACTGTTACAGCAATTGGATATTCCCTGGGAGAGTCCATGGAATTGCTGCCTTTGCTGTCTTTCTTGACCTCCAATCCAGTTCTGGGCTGGGCTGCCTCTTGTCTGACCCACCTCCTTAGACAATGCTCCCTTCTTCTTGGGAAAGTACCATTTCACCACCCCTCATGCAACATAATTAGGAAATATGCAGTAAGTCATATTCATGATCGGAGGCATTAAAAGCAACAAAGATAAATGAAATAAAATCTCAAAATAATAATAATAATAATAATAATAATAATAATAATAATAATAATAATAATAATAATAATATTTGGAAGGGACCTTGGAGGTACATCTAGTCCAACCTCCCTGCTCAGGCAGGAAACCCTACACTGCATTTCGGACAAATGGCTGTCCAGTCTCTTCTTAAAAACTTCCAGTGTTGGAGCATTTACTGCTTCTGGAGGCAGGCTGTTCCACTGATTAATTGTTCTCACTGTCAGGAGGTTTCTCCTTAGTTCTAGGTTACTTCTCTCCTTGATTAGTTTCCACCTGTTGCTTCTTGTCCTGCCTTCAGGGGCTTTGGAAAATAGCTTGGTTCCCTCTTCTTTATGGCAGCCCCTGAGATATTGGAATACTGCTATCGTGTCCCCCTTTGTCCTTTTCTTCGTTAAACTAGACATACCCAATTCTAGCAACTGTTCCTTATATGTTTTAGCCTCCAGTCCCCTAATCATCTTTGTTGCTCTTCCCTGTACTCTTTCTAGAATCTGTGTTGGAGCAAATAACACGACTCAGTGTTCGGCCTAAAATATTGGAATAGTAGTGTTAGGTTTGGTATAAATGTATTCTGAGCTCAGACATGATCTATCTTGTTTCCTATTCCTTATGGTAGCATGGACACTATTAAGGATAATCATATGATGGGAAACCAAGGAATGCTATTTTCCCCAGATTTTCACCTAGCCAGTTCTTACCAACAGGACATTGGAATGATTGAAGATTTGAATTGTCTTGCCAGTCTCCAGCTCGTTACATGCTTGAAACTAATGTTTGATTTTGTATTGAAATCTGTCGGCTCCAAAACCATCCTAAACAATGTTTTGCTGTCCACCTTTCCTAGATGAGAGCAACAGCTGATAAGTCCATGAGGCTTGTCCTTACCACCTTCAGCAATCTTCGGGAAGAGCTCGTCCATCTGCAGGATGACTTAGGGGTGCGTAGTTGTGTTGCTTGGAATGTGTTGAAGTGCGTTGAATAGCCCTCCCTGAACTGCTGTTTTCCAGATGTGTTAGGACCTGCTGGTTGGAATTTACATTTCTGACACATCTGGGGGAGGCCAGGATAGGGAAAGCAGCACCCAGATGGCACTTGTGATCTAGAGCCAGGATTCATAAAGCAGTTTCAGATTTTCAAGATCCTCTTCTTGCTTTTGAGAGTCCCCCTGATTTTGAGTGACATGCATACAAATTCTGGGTAGATATTTCTGATTCTTTCTTGGATGGTGGAAATCAAAGCTGTGTCAGTCACAAAGATTGCAATGCAGTTACTTTTCTCTTGGAACAATTGCAACAATCTTTTGGGACCGAACCATGGATAATAGGTGACTTAGTAGTTACGAACCATTATGAACTTGGGACGTTTTTAATTAGAGATATTTTGCATTGTTTGCAGATTCATTGGAAACTCTGACTGATCCCTTTGTTCGTTTCCCTCACGCTTATTGTTCAGCAGGTTACTGGCTTTTAATCCATTAATTTCTGCCCCTCTTCAGAAGTATAAGTGCAGCTGTGAGTCTTAGTGTGTCACAAAACAAGAAAGAAAGAAAGAAAGAAAGAAAGAAAGAAAGAAAGAAAGAAAGAAAGAAAGAAAGAAAGAAAGAAAGAGGAAGGGAGGAGGGAGGGAGAGAAGGAAGGAAGGAAGGAAGGAAGGAAGGAAGGAAGGAAGGAAGGAAGGAAGGAAGGAAGGAAGGGATATAGCATATAGGACTTTTTTAATATATGATTTTTTGTAAATTGTGAGGCAAACAGCCAGCCAGATCTGTTTGTAACACAAATAGAATGTTTTGAACAGCCTGTCTTTGACTTTTACAGAAACTGGAAATGGACAAGATGCTGCTTGAGAAAGATCTGTCTTTCAAAGAAGCTCAAGTAAAAGAATATGAGATGCTTTTGGCATCTGTGCGTGAGAATAATCGTCAACAGCAGGTGAGGGGCACACCTTGTGGTACCAAATGTTGGCTCCTGATTTAAACTGTTCTTGTCCAGCAGTTGGTTTTTGTGTTGACCTATCAGTTGATCTAATCCCAAAAAGTTCTGTTACCAAAAGAACCTTGGCAGGGGGAGAACACCAAATCCTGTGAAAACAGAAAAGGTTGGCGGGGAGAAGGATAGAAAAACACAATCAGCAGATTAGTTTAGGCTAGATAAACATTTCCTATTCCTGTTACAAGAGGAGAGGGAAAAAAAATCTCATATCTTGAATATTGCGATGTTGTACAGAGGTAAACCATCATGTCTTGCTTTGTAGCTTCAGTGTATGTCTAGATTCTTAGGCAATAACCACAGTGAAAGATGACTAAGAGTGATGTACGAACAACATGTACAATGCTGGTTATATGCCATCAGGATGGCATTGACTCTTAGCAACTACATAGATTTTCTCCAAGAGGATCTGGCCCTGACTTAGGCCCTCAGATCTTCCAATGGTGCTCCCATCATCACTGTAATAGAGTCCCATTTTCCTTGTTATTAGTTGTCCACTTCTTCTCTTTCCTAGCATTCTCCTACTTTGTGTGCAGTGTAGGATAGCCTGAATCAGAACATTGGTACTTCAAGCGAGAACTATGGGTTGCCAATAAAGGATAATATTTGTAGCTCAACGTTGAAATGAGGGGTCCTTGGTGCTCTCTGAGCTTGGCTGTTTTCTTGCAGATGTTTCATTACCCAAACTGGATAACATCATCAGTGCTAGTAAGGAATGGGATTGAGAGCAACCCAGTTTGGCAATGAAACAGCTGCAAGAAAACTGTCAAGCTCAGAGAGCACCTAGGCACCCTCAGCTCTGGGTTGATTGGTTCAATGATCCATTGGATTTCTAGGTGGTTCTTGGAATTCTCAAGAGTTCCAAAGCTTCATTATTCTTTCTATCTTGCTTATTCAAAGTCCATGTTTGATAGGATGGTCAATCAGAAATATTGCAAGGTTGACCAGCACGTAGGAACAGTGGCCCAACATGGTAGCAGAGAATTGTGAAAGTATACAGATGCAACTACATTAAGCTAAGCCTTAAGGAATTAGGTTCTCCCAGCTGGCAAAGTCACTTAAGACTGTTTCTTTTCGGCTGGGGTGGGTTTTGCAGCAAGCTCTCCGTGAATACACCCTGAAGTGTCGTTCCCTGGAAGAACAGCTGCTGTCTCTCCGTCACAACGACAGCGAGCGGGAATTCCGGCTGAAAGACCTGGAATACAGCAAACGGGCCTTGGAGCAGGAAATTCAGAACTTGAGACTCCAGGTAAACCATCTTCCTGTCTTTCCGTTGGTCAGTGGTCAGCTGATGCTTGGAATTCCAAGGACTAGCCTTGAAAAGAGAAGGAGGACCACAGTAAAAAAAAAAGGGGGGGAGGGGAGGTCCGGTGAGCGGACAGCAGCCTCTGCCCCTTGAGGTCAACACTTTCTTTTCTTTCTACATCTCTCTTGGATCCAGAAGCAGAATTGTCATGGGAAATTAGATACGGTGGCCACTCGTTTGCAGGAAGTTGCGCTTTGGAGGCTGGGCTGTGAGAAAGCAAGATGGGGATGGAAAACACACAAACATCTGTTTAAGTACATTTAATTTGAATCGTGATTCAATACATTGGATTTTTTCAAAATATAGATTAGCAAAGATTTTGGACAATGGCTATTAGTTAATGGAAACTGCAGTGGGGAAGGAAGAGAGAAAAAAGAGAAAGAAAGAGAAGGAAGAAGGTGGAAAGGAAGGAAAAAGAAAGAAAGAGGAAGGAATGAAAGAAAGAAGGAAAGAAAAAGAAAGAGAAAGAAAAGGAAGAAGGTGGAAAGAAAAGAAAGGAAAAGAGAAAGACAGGAAGGAAGGAAGGAAGGAAGGAAGAAAAGAAAGAAAGAAAGAAAGAGAAAGAAAGATTGTTCCATAGGATAAATCTCTCATTATGTGCTTTAAAGAACTGTTAGTGGTTTCTTTTAACTGCAGAAACTAAAATTTTTCCTTTGCTCAGACTTCCACCAATCCTCTGGGCCAGACCACCACAGATGAACTGTCCAGCCGCTACGTAGAGATGATCAACCAACTCAGAGATGATAAAGACCGGGAGATCCGCACTCTGCGGGTAAGTTGACTTCCTTATCAAAGATGCCATATTGCTGGGCTCTCTTTTAAGCCATTCCCATTTTGCAAAGGTGGGGCTTCGACAGGACTTAATACCTGGCTGGCTTTGTCTGACCTGGAACCTGGGTTGGGTGGAGATTGTTAAACAGAGGGCCACATGGACATCCCAAAGAGTACAGACTAGCCTGGGAGGTTAGCATCCATTCCAGAAGAAGGTAGCGACAAACGGTTTCTACCCTGTTACCCTGACAATTGCATAGTGACATCCATCGGATTCAACTTCACTCAGAGGCACCCAGATGGTCTTTGACTGCCATTTGTGTAGTGATCATTCAAAGTTATGGCACTGGAATAAGTGACTAATGACCATTTTTCACCTTTACAACCGTTGCAGCATCCCCATAGTCAGGTGCTCAAAATTCAGATGCTTAGCAACTGGATTATATTTAGGACGGTCGCAGCAGCCCGTGGTCATGTGACCACTTTTTGCGACCTTTTGACGAGCAAAGCCAATGGGGAAATCAGATTCCCTTAACAGCCCTGCTTCCAACTTAACGGTGGTGAGAAAGCTTGTAGAACGGGACGAAACTCAACAAACGTCTCGCTCAAGCAACAGAAATTTGGTTGTGGTCGTTAAGTCCAGGACTGCCCGTATATAGGTATGGAAAAGCTGCCTCTTGAGCACTTATCAATATGAGCTTTGTTGTTGTTGTTGTTGTTGTTGCCGTGTAGTGCACGTTGTCCGAATTCCAGAAGGATTTCTCAAGAAAGCAAGGGACTGACACTGACCTGCAGATAAGACTGCAAGACTTGATTCTCAAGCTGGAGGAGAGAGAGGCCTGCATCAAACGGCAGGAGGAGGTACGTAGTGGCGCACGGAGAGTTGAGCAGATTCTTGGCTCAGTCCCTAATCAAGGAGCCCTCAAGGAAGAAGCCACACCCCAATTAAGACTAGCAAGGCGAGCTCCTGTATATAAAAGTCAGCAAAATGTCACTCCCCCTTGCACTGATGATGTTGCCTAGCTTGGTAAGGAAACGTCTACAGGAAAACAAGATCAGGAAAGTACCAAGAACTCAACCGTCAATCTCAGATTGCTCCTAGCTGTCCGTCTGGGTCCTGGGATGGTGTCCATGAGTAGAATTTCATCCTAGTCACTCTTTAATTCACGTCTCCTTTCCTAGGGACCTATTTTCAGCAAACTTAATCAGTATTGGGAAGATTCTGAACGGCCAAAGAAACAGCAGGATATGAAATGTTGAATAGTCTATATGGGATGGTGTCTTTTTGCCTGAAATGGTTTCTTTTCTTTTTTTTATCTTTTAGGAAATCTTCAGATTGAGGCAAGAAAAATTAGCCATCAATCCATCTCAAGGAATCACAAAGACCATCATCACAAAAAAGTAATGCTATTGCGAGCAACTGATGGTTTCTGTTTATGAAATGTACTAGTGTATTTGGGTTTTTTTGGGGGGGTATATTGCTCTTTTTGCCAGCAAACTTAAAAACAAATACAAACTGACACTAGGCCATAACACAACAGCAGAAACTAAATCTTATTGAAAAAAAATAGACTTAGAATAAAATATACAGAATGTCTTCTTTTGGAATGTAGTTGAAAACCACAGTAATCTTCCCTGGCAGGGTTTAATTTAGCTAAGATTCACAAAACTATTCCATAGGAGAGATTGAAATAGAAAACATTTCATTGCTTTTATCACAGTTAACATTAAATTTGGTCTCCCAGACAACTGGTGAAAATCCAAATTATAAAAGAAAAGACGGGGAAAAAAACCAAAAGGAAAAAATTAACAGATACAGTGCAGGAATTTTTGTGCCATGTGTATCCTCCCATTTCTTCTAAATGTAGATGATAAAATTATATTTCATCAGGCATAACTCAACTGGAACAGTTGGAAGTTTTTAAAATAGGATGGCCTAGAATCTTTTGTGTGTGTGTTTGACTCGGTCTATGACAAGTCACAGCATTCTTGGCAAAGATTTGGGAAATGGTTTACTATTGCCTGCTTCCTAGGGCTGAGAGAGAGTGACTGGCCCAAAGTCATCCAGCTGGTTTTCATGCCTAAGGTGGGACTAGAATTCACAGTCTCCCAGTTTCAAGCCTGATGCCCAAACTACTAACCCTAACTGGCTTTCAACCTAGTTGTGGCAATTGTTGCAAGAGACAGATTATAATCCTGCCCTGCTTGGAAGAACGGAACAATGGCATCTGAGATCGAATTGAGCATCAGGGCTGATGTTTTGCTTTTCGCCACTTTTCACCACCAGATACAGGAACCATTACCCCATTCTTGGCCTCTTATCCGATGACTACAAAGCCACATCACCTGGTGGGGAAACGCAGACCATCGTGATTGAAAAAACTGGAGAAACGTGGAAGGTAACTCCCCGACAGAAATGTCTTCCACATTCAATTAGATGTGCGGGAGCTTTAGGATCTGAGCCTTAGGATTTTAAAAGATGGGAGGTAGTGGGAGAGTAACCCAATTAAAACTACAGGTAGTTTTTGACTTAACGCCCATTTGTGATGGTGACAGCCTGGAAAACGGAACATCACGCTATTTGAAATCCATAGCAAGGTGAGGTGTTTGCTACCTCTGTAGCTCCATCACAGAGCTCAGAAAGCTAACGTGCGTTGAACATTTCAAGGTATCTGTTGGAAGAATTTATCGTCTTCAACCTCCCGTGGTGTATTTCCCAACTGAGAAAAGTCCTTGACTTTTTGTGACACTTTGTGACTGTTCAGAGTTACAACGACACTGGAAAAAAGTGACCTTTTTTCACACAACTTTTGCAGCATCCGCAGGGTCGCCTGATCTAAATTTGGCTTCTTGGCCAGTGGCTCATATTTATGACATATAGTCTATCTTTTGTGACCGTTTGATGAGCAAATTCAATGGGGAAGTTGGATTCACTCAACAGTCGTGCTACTAACTTTATCAGGGCAGTGATTCGAGAAAAGCTGTGAAATGGGGCTAAACTCTGTTAATAGCTGTCTTGCTTAGTTATGGAAATGTTGAACTCGGTTGTGGTCATAAGGACTACCTGTATTTGTGCAGAAAATGCTATGGAACATTTGGTTCGCAAACTCATACAGCCTAAGGCAGGGGTAGGCCACCTTGGCTCTTTTATGACTCGTGGACTTCAATTCCCAGAATTCCTGAGCCAGCATGGCTCAGCTTGGAAACTTCTCCCTTTCCCCTCAGCATGGCTGGCTCAGGAATTCTGGGAGTTGAAGTCCACGAGTCATAAAAGAGCCAAGGCTGCCTACCCCTGGCCTAAGGCAATGGCGGAATAGCATATTACAGGTTAGCCAGGAAACCTTAAAATTTTTGAGTAATTGCTGTTTGGTCTTGAAGGCCAACTCTTTGCATTAGCCAAACAAAACCCAAAGAGTTTGGGATAAATAGTGATTTATCTCTTGACACATATCCTAGCGAAGAGGTGGAGATGAATAACATGTCCTGTTTCTTTTCCAACAGGAATCGTTTACTTCTGATTAAAGACCTGCTGGCGTCTTTCAGGCAGGTCTGCTGAACAAGTTGTGGCTGATCAGATGAGTCTGCGTCCAAATAAATATTGTTGCGTTATCGTTTTGCTTGCACCTTCATGTAATGCTGGAAGTCTTGAGATAACTGGATCAATCAGGGTTGGAAGGAATTGTTAAAAGCACACACTACCAAATGCAGCATTTGAAGACGTTCTTCGCACCAGTTGGTTTTTACTTTCAAGCTTAACTGGTCAACTGAAGAAATGTATGGATATGTGGGTCAGCAAGGGATCTGGGCTGGGGAATTCAGAAAACACATGTGTGCTGGCCAAGCTTCTGTCTTCTCCCTTTTTTACTCCAAAGATCTGAGAAACTATATCCAATACCTACCTGATGCTTCAGTTTAGAGATGCAGAGATCAATAATTGCTGAATAAATGTTTTTTCTTTATTGGGAACATTCAGTCTAGTACCAATATTATATCTAGGAATGCTGCTTCCAACACAGCCTGTTAATAAAAGCAGTCGAGAGTTATTTGACAAGTATACTTTTCTTTAATATGTATTTTCTCATCAGCAGTTTTCTGTTCTTTTGGAACAAGACGGAGTTAGTAACCTTAGTTAAAGTACTTAATTGGTAGTACTTGGGTGTAGGGTTAGTTTTTTGATATTGTTGTAGTTACTCTGTGATGTGGTGGGTCAAATCTTGAACAGACATGTTTGGACTTAAAAATGGTAATTTGTTGTTCTATCCTTTGATTTGTGTCATGAAGCTAAAATCCAAGATGTAGAGAAGGAGGAATGGAAAGAGAATTGATTAGAAAGCAATTTTGCTAGTGCAGTTGGTTAAGATTTGTGTGTTGTTCAGAGAAAACAGAGAAAATTAGATAATGTTTATGGACTGCTTCACCATGAAGCTGAAAATTGATTTTGAGATTGGAAAATTGTGCTTGTATGAGTGCAGAGATGGATATGATGGTGGATTCATATCATCACAAGCAAAGTTAGTTGAACTTGTACTGCACTGCCTTCCATCTAGTGCTGGGGAAGACAGCACCTCCCACTCAGAAAGACAAGGAGAGATGGAGAGTAGATAACGTCTTTGCAGGAGAGAGTCTTAGATCAGTATTTCTCAACCTTGACAATTTTAAGGCATGTGGACTTCAACTCCCAGAATTCCACAGCCAGCATTGCTGGCTGTGGAATTCTGGGAGTTGAAGTCCACATGCCTTAAAATTGTCAAGGTTGAGAAACACTGTCTTAGATTCTGCCATGCATAAATGCGGCGTGCTTGCTTATTCTTGGTGGCTTATAGAGTCAACTAACTGATAAAGGAAACTATTTGCAGGTCAGGGTTGAAATGAGGGTGCCTTGATGTTCTCTGAACTTGGTTCTTTTGTTGCAGATGTTTCATTACCAAACTAGGCATCACCATCGGGGCTGGAAGGAGTGGGGTGTGTAACTGCATCTTGTACGTAAGCAGAGAGCAAGCCTCACTCCCTTCTAGCCCTGATGATGTTACCTAGTTTGTAAATGTCTGCAAGGACGTCTGCAAGCTCAGAGAGCACCAAAGAACTCTGAGTCAACTAACTTTATAAATGAAAATAACATAGGGGGTCATAGAAAGATGTGACACAATCTCAAAATTGGCCTTAGATTTGAAGTTGAAGAGCGTGCAGTTACTAGTCAACACAAGGGAGCATTCTATTTTGTGCTGCCACATTGATGGTGCAATTAACCTATTGACGTAACTGTTTAACCTTGTTCAAGATTGACAGGCATGGGGCTACAGAATGCAGAACCTCTGTAGAATAGTAGGTGGCAGAGAAAAAATATGAAAACTATTCTTTACTTCCATTTTTGTTGCACAGATCTACAAAGCCTGATTAACCCCCTAAATATGGAAATAAATTCCTACTTCTGGCTTGTATTAGCTATGTTAGACTTTTAGGCAGAGGAATTGCTGAATAGCTACGAGGCTGTATTCTTTATACTATAGTCTCTCAAGACAAAAGATTTCTCAGGAATAAGCTTATTCTAAACAATTATTGAATGTCTTTACCAATGATGGCTTTTAGATGCATGAGTCAGCTTCTGATGTCACTCCATTTCCTGTTTTGACAAGAGATTTATTTCATGTGTCATCTTTTGACTTGAAAAACATTTGCCTTTTGTTCAGTAATGTTCTTTAAACGTACGCACACACACACCCAGATTTAAAATACAAAATAATTATAAACAATAACAATAAACAGATAATCTAAAACTTCAGCCCACTGTTTGAAGGTCACAGTTCTGTGCCAACTTCCCTAGAAATAATCCCGATTAAGATTTAAATTTCAAGTCGGGTCAAGCTCCTAGATACAAGATGCATTTTTAGAGACAGCTTTGAGGAAATGGAAAATAAACTCTGGGCCTCTGTTAATGTTGTGATTTCAAAGGAATATGGAGAATGTGGTTCAGTTATTACTCACAATTATAACCGCCCAGAGTTGCTCTGGATAACAAGATGGGTGGCGTATAAATTTAATAAATAAAACAACTCAAATCAGCTCTCATATGGACTGTTTATTCGTAAGCAATCAAATCTATGTACTGTATATATATATGTCTTGAGTAGCCATAACTGTTGCAGGGCCCATTTAAAGAGAAATGTATAGACAAACCTCAGTGTAACAGAAAACTCTTTATTTGATAGGACTTGGAATTTTATCATATTTTCTGATTTGTCGGAGTAAATGTGTTGAGAATCACATCTCTCTCTGGATTCCTTGATCTATATCAGGGATAGGCAACCTTGGCTCTTTTATGACTTGTGGACTTCAACTCCCAGAATTCCTGAGCCGGCATGGCTCAGCATGGAAGCCTCTCCCTTTCCCTCAGCATAGCTGGCTCAGAAATTCTGGGAGTTGAAGTCCACGAGTCATAAAAGAGCCAAGGTTGCCTACCCCTATCCTAGGACGAAGATTAAGAGCATGGGTCTTCAAACTTGGCTCTTTTATGACTTGTGGACTTCAACTCCCAGAATTCCTGAGCCAGCCACGCTGAGGGGAAAGGGAGAGGTTTCCAAGCTGAGCTAAGTTGGCTCAGGAATTCTGGGAGTTGAAGTCCACGAGTCATAAAAGAGCCAAGGTTGCCTACCCCTGATCTATAGTATTGCTGAAAGTTGAAGAGTCAACCAAATACAAGTAGTCCTCAACTTACGACAACTGAGCCCAAACTTTCTGTGGCTAAGCGAGATAGTTAAGTGAGTCTTGTCCCCATTTTACAATCTTTCTTGCCACAGTTGATAAGTGAATCACTGTAGTCAAATTGGTAACCCAGTTGTTAAGTGAATCTGGCTTCCCTCACTGACTTTGCTTGTCAGAAAGTTGCAAGAGGGGATCACGTGACCCTGGGACACTGTGACCGTCATAAGTATGAACCAGTTGCCAAGCCTTCAAATTTTGATTACGTGACCATGGGGTAGGCTGCAATGGTCACACATGTGAAAAAAAAAAGTCGTAGGTCATTGTTTTCAGGGTGACCGTAACTTTGAACGGGTTGCTAAATGAATTGTTGAGGACTAGCTGTACACACAAAAGGGCAAATTTGATTTTGAAATGGATGAAAATTAGTTGAGCCTATTTGGCCGTTCTCAACATAATCTTCAACCATTTCTCAATAGCCCACAGGAGGAAAATGTTAAGGTTTAAAATGTTTTAAATTTTAAGAGCCGTTTTGCAAATTATAAAATGCCAGCGAGTTTTCTTGTCAAGCTCTGTTTTGTGGCTATGGTGATGCTTATCCCCGTTTCTTCCACCGGGTGAAGATATTTTTGGAATTGACATGGACAGTCTTGAATAAATCTGTGATAATGTACCAGAATACCACTGACTCTCTTGGTTAAATAAAAAAATACATTTCTAAGCTTGATGGTTTAGATCTCATGTTTCTTTAGACTGCTGCTACGTAAATAAAACTGGACATTAACTGTTCATCTTATGCACACAGGTGTCCTTGTAGAATTCGTGGCCTTGTAAATTTCCAAAGTAAGTATATAAGCTAGTAGAATAGCCTGTTTTTTTAAAAAAAAGCACAAACCTGGGGAGCATCATTTTCCATTTAAAACATGACATGCTTTTAGAGGTGTGATTTCAATTTCTCATTGACTCTTTAACTTTTTAGCTGTTTTTAAATGTTGTAATTAGAGCTACACAACCTCGCACATATAAATTTTGATGGCCCTTTTTGAAGATCTACAGTCCACATTTCGTAGCTGAGCTATACAAATCATTTATAAGAGCCTAAGTGTTAATGTTTTGGTCAAATGTATGTGACAAGCCGCACAATTCTTGGTAATGCATCCTGTGAACTAACAGCAATTTAATAAACCAGATTTACTTTCAAGACAGTCTCTTTCCTCAGTGTGTGTGTGTGGTTTGTGTGTGGAGTGGGTGCTTGTGTGTGTGCATAATAAACATGGGAGGGGAAATCAAGTCATTCGGGAATTTCCAGACTGCGAAGAGTGCTGAAAAAACCATAAATTTTACAAATCCCAAAGCATATTTTAGGTTATCTATCATGCTTAAGTGACAATGTAAACTTGAACTGCCAAATCAGTTTAAATCAAATGTCCTTTTAAGTTTTGTGACAAAATCAATGTTTCCCAATTTTGCACGTGATCTGCCAAATGGGCCTCATGATTAGAATATTTGGCATTCTGCATCCCACCCTCCACTCCAGCGCTAGAAGAAGCCATGCAAGATTTAATGCTACCATCTCACATGAATCAAATCTGTTAAAATGCAACCTTGAAATGGGCTTCTCTTATCAAACAAGTCCTATAAGAGAGATGTTGAAAAATCGCCTTTATTGTTAGGTCAGAACAGGGACAGTTCTTGACTTACAGTTAGTGACCTTTAAAGTTACAACGGCACTGAAAAAAGTGACTTAACTGTTTTTCACACTTATGACTGAAATTCAGATGTTTGGCAACGGATTCATATTTATGACGGTTGCAGTGTCCTGGGGTTATGTGATTTTTTGCAACCTTCTGACAAAGTCAGTGGGGAAGCCAGACTCACTTAACATTTGTGTTACTAACTTAACAGTTGCAATAATTCACTTAACAACAGTGGCAAGAAAAGTCGTAAAAAGGAGCAAAAACCACTTAACAAATGTTTCATTTAGCATTGTAATGTTTGGGCTCAATTGTGGTACGAAGTCAAGGACTTCCTGTATAGCAACACACTGAACTTTAAAATACACGTCAAATGCTTGGATTTTTTTCGACTAGACCTTTGTACTGGTGTTTTTTAGTCATTTTAAAATAAATATCACTGTTGCAACTTTTCTAAATTACAGCAGATGTAAGAAATAATTGTTTCACGATACTGAAATTAAATGAACTTTTTGCATTGGGAAGAAAATCGAAGACAGTGTAATAATCACAGCAATAAATTTAAGTACATAAATTAGGAAGGTATGTCACTTGATTGGCAGCAGAAAGGAATATAAAGGTTCTTGAGTTTGGAGTGCAAGAGATGCATTTTATTGTATGCTCATTACAATGAGTAACACATTTTAAAATAATAATCCCACATAACAGTGACAATCTTATTTTACAGCGTGTACATCATTTTTACAGCCACATAAAACACAAGTAGTTTCCTATGGTTTCCCAAAGTTAACTTTCCGAAGGTTGGAAATATATATATATATATATAAAAATTATTCTCAAGGAACTGATTCTCATCTGGTGCAAAAACTAAGTATGAACATTATCTGAAACACAAAACCACAATATAGTAGCATGAATGAATTAAAGTTACAAGTTATCATGTGAACAGCTGTGTGCAAACATGAAGCAACTTAAAATGTAAGGTTGTTTTTTTTTTAAGAAAAATGACACATGTATAACATTTATGAAGGTTTTTTTTAAAATTATTAAATAGCCCTAGACCAGCTTGTTATATTAAGCGGCGTTTTTTGCAGCATGCTAACACAAAGCATTGTTTAAAGGGATGCGTATTTCAAATGTATACACTGTAAACTGAAAATCCATGTCTGCCCCCTTGTGGCAGTTTACTGTTCGGGTTAAATACTGCATACATAATTTCCATACAGATTGAGAATGCAAGTTTATAGTATGGTATATGTTTTGTATGAATTCTTTAAAAGGTGCAATTTTTCTTTCTATACGGATTTTTTTTTTAAAAAAAATAAAAGATTAATGGCAAGTCAGGGCCATGGATCCTGACTTGCCAGAAACACTGCTTTTGAAAGATTCTCTAGGATTTTCCAACGGCTGGCGTCTTTCTATACCTTGATATTCTCTCTCGTAAGGACAGTTGTGAAGTTACAAGGGGAAAAAAAACAAAACAGTGCCCCATAACTGCATCTATCATTTTTTTTCTTCTTCTTTTTTTTTTAAAAAATATCGATCAAAAGTTACTTGTCATCGTGAATATGTGCCGTATTAAACATTCAACTTGTAGTTTCAGATAAAAAGGGAAATTATGTACATACATGTCTCGGTCCCCTAGCACCAAACTTTTGATCTCGGAAAACATAATGCTGTATTTTCAACACGGTATCCTGTAGTAAAAAATAGGTTAGCAGCTCTGAAAGGAAACTTTGGAAATTGCTCATTCAACACAGGGAGAAAAAAACGAGGTTTACGGATGAAATGTCATGTTTGCTTTAAAATGGGGCGGGGGGGAAGGACAGATCTTAAAATTCGATCCGTTTCTTGAATACTATGTCCCAGCACAATTTTCTTTAAAAAAAAAAAAATGTAAGGACTATGTGACTTCTACCTAGCTTCACTATTCGAAAACTGCATGTGGTATATTCATTCTAGCCAAAACACATTGAAAGAACTTCTGTTCTGGTTTTCCGTAAGGTGACCAGTGGCGTTATTGACATAAAGAGCTATGGGAATGGACTTAATATTTAGCTTAATAACGTGTAACGCTTTATTATAACAGAAGACATTCAAGGTCTCTTTCTGCAGCTTCTCAAACATTCACCTCTCCGCGTTTAGAGTGCTCGTTAGGTTCCTATAAGCAACAATCGTAGGGCTATGAGATACCCAGTCAATCCTAACACTTCACTTTAAGACTCTTTAATATAGGGGTCTTCAAACCTGGCCCTTTTAGGACTTGGGGACTTCCAACTCCCAGAATTCCTCAGCCAGCCATGCTGGCTGAGGAATTCTGGGAGTTGGAAGTCTCCAAGTCCTAAAAGGGCCAGGTTCGAAGACCCCCTGCTTTAATACAAAGAATGCAAAGTTATGATTTAAGATCAAGCTTTGAAACCAGGAGAAACAGTTCATGAGAGTTTCCTTCCCCTAACACGGGGTCTTCCGCGGCGCCCAGAACTACATGAGGGCCTCTTTGTGATGCCTCATGATATGTTGGTTCTTCTCCGAAGGCCTTCGGAAGCCCTTTTTACAATACTCGCACCTGTGAGGGTAGTCTTTCGTGTGGATGGATATGACGTGCCTCTTGAAGCCCGAGGCGTCTGTCGTGCTGTATTCGCAATACTGACACTGGTAGACTTTCCTCCCGCTGTG